ATAAGGGTTTTATGTTAATACAGCTTGTCGATCATACGAATTAAATTTGTAGATTGAGTAACTGAGAAACTCATCTCAATTTCTCTAACAATATATAAACCGTTTTTATGTAACTTTATCCTACCGTCATCACAAATTTGGCATCGATTAGATATCCAATTAATGAATAATGGAAAGAAGTTTTAATGAAAACTAATTGCTGAAAATTCAAAAGTAAGGTTTTTTTTGAGTTTAAATATTTTAAGGTAATTAAAAAAATATATATTCATATGAAATATATATTTTAGGGAGTTATATGAGATGGTTGTAGTAACGTATAAGAGTTAATGAATAATTTGTAATACATATCAAAAATACCATTAAAATATAGCCTGCGGGAAATGTTTACGTTTTTGGGATAGGTTTTAATATTAATTTTATATCAAAGACAGAACAACATTATGTTTACTTGAAACGTTATCATTCTCTTATAATTGATTCATTATTATTAGAACATCAAACGATGTTTTATTAGTAAAAAGACCATTTATAAATTGAAAAATGTTTATCTTTGTAAAATTCTACAGAAATACAATTCAGGGAGGCCTTCTAAATAACTTTTGTTTCGCAAAAGGGTTTAGGTTTTGTACAAACACATTGTAATATTTTGATATGACTGAAATATAAATAAAAAAATTTGCTAAAGAGCAAGAATTTGTTCCTTTAAATAAAATATTTACTCTTTTAGGGATTGTTATCTTTATTTTTTAAATAATATATTATTTCTATGTCTATTGAAATTCTTTAACTACTAGTAATGATTTTTGAAATCGTCATAAAACTTGTTTTATAAATTTTTACGAACCAGTTTTTTAGTAGTTAATTCCCTAACTATTGTTTTATTTACCTTTAATATACGTAATTTTAACCTAAATATCTTGTTATTATATTATTTACTTCCATTCCATACTTACTTTCATTCTTAATTGAGTCATGGTTTTGCAGTGAACTATGTATAAAGTTTTAACATCTGGTGAAAGAATAAAATATGTATGAAGATAGAAGATTTAACAAAATATATATGCAACTCGGATCAGAAAGACGGCAAAAGTATTAAGAAAGATACTAGTTTACTAAGAGAAAGGAAGGAGAAGAAGAAGATATTACGTAAAATGTAAAAGCTTGAACTCTTCAAGGAGACTACTTTATTTAGGAGACTTATTTTTAATACTTTTTATGAGTTATTACTTGAATTTCAAATACGAATTCTACAGTTAAGTATTACTTTAGAAAAGTTTTACACGTGACCTAATGAACATAGTTCAACTAATGGGGTGTTGGGGTGTTAAGGATAATGAGTTTCACAAAGTTATAGAGCTACAAAGCTATTTAAAATTTATTTTGCATTCAGAATAACACTCAAAATTTCAATACAAATCTTTCATGTGATACGTCATTGAACCTTCACAGAAAAGTTAGATTTTTGTTTGTCACAAAAACTTTTTATAAACCCCGTTTCTTTGGAATTTCCTGTGACTATTATTATATCATCCAAGAATATTTTCAGTTAAGATTTTAATGCTCTGAAAGAATTCTTATTATACAAATCTGAACAATAAATTTATATTTTTATTGTATTAATATTTTAGCGAGTTCTAGCGAAACGGTGGAGTAAGAAATTTAAAGAAATATTACTTATAAGATTTTTACACAGTTTCATTTAACATTATTTTTTACTATTTTATTACAATTACTTTAATTACATACATTGCAAAGGTTTTTATAGTTGTTTTAATTTAATTATAAAAGAATTGTTGAATGATGCGTTATCTATAAAAGTTTGTCAAGACTACTGAAGGAATAAAAAGCTTGTAATAAAGTGAAAAAATGAGAAAACTGATTTTTATTTTTGTCAATAAGTTGCATGTAATAATCTATTACAGCATTTTAATTGTAAAGACAGTTTTCATTATAGTAGTATTGTGAAATTGATATTTATTTAATTTTGAAAAGTAACTTAAGTAAGTCGCGCTGTTAGATATAAAAAATTAAAACTAATAAACTAATTAATTTAATCATATAGTAAGTACGCTTAGTTCCTCCTAATTTAAAGTAGAGATAGTATATTAAATTTATCTTCATAAATTATTATTATCAATTGAATCATGGACACAAGGGGAAAGTTTTAACTTTATCCTGTTACCTCCGGTAATCTGCGTGCCAGTTGTCTTACCAATTGAGCTAGTGTGTCCAGCTAGTGTAGATAAATTTTTCACCGAATGTTCTCTAAGTTAATTTTTAATTAAAGTATTAGTTCAATATTGATTTAATGTAAAACATAATATATAGATTTAATACAAATTTATTGTTTTTGAAGAACTGACTAGAAACTCTAAACTTATCTTAAGATATATTTTATAAAGGTACGGTCTAGTGGAAATGAGGTGAGATCTTTCTTGTTTAGAACTAGTATTTTATAAATCATATTGTTTTCATAAGGCGTTAAAAACATTAAGTACGAAAATTTTGTCCATTATAATATTATAACTTGATATCGACTTTATTTAAACTCCTATGAAAGTTTCAAAGTTGTAATTTTATAAGCCTATAAAATTACAACTTTGCAACTTTGGTATTAATTTCATATTTTGAATTTGACATTTTCAAATTGATTTTAGATGACAGATTTGTATTTTATGTTTTATATAAAATCATGTTGGTAGAAAATAATATATGATATGTTTAAAAATATGACATATCAAAAAGTATTACAGTTAATCAAAGAGTAGTGTAGTTTTTTGATTACTTATTTCATGAATATTTTAAGCAGTATATTTTTACATATTTTTTTATGTATCAAATAGATTAGATGTAAGTGTGGTATCTATTAACAGCTTGTTGTGTTTACGAAAGTTTGTGATGTTATGGTTCCTTGGGAAACCAACTTCTATAGATGCTACCACAGTCAAGAAATATTACGAGCTCACCAACAAATTCAATAGAAAGAAGATCGTACCCGGTAGAGTAGAAGGGAGAGATGTAACAGCTAAACCTATCTACAGTCTTCTAAAAGACGTGTCCAGAACGAACATCAATTCGTTCTTGGAACGCACTTCTATGGCAGCCCTCGTATGTTCGAAAGCATTTTATGAGAAGCTTGGATGGTGGAGGTGAGCGTTTAAAGCGCGTAAGATAGGGGCCCTTTAAACCTTCACCTGGGTCGCAAGGCCCAGGCACTGTTGAAGATCTTCTCTATGCAACGCGATGGACCTGGCAACCCCACGGTCAATTTATGGAATGCGGAGAAGTTTCGTCTTTTAAATTTATATAATAATAACGGTAAATTATAATGATTAAAATGAGCACATAGAGATGACTTTTGAAATTTAGGATTTTTTCTATCAGATTCCACTACAAAGATTTTATAGTTATAACAAAAATATTACCCTATCATTATCTTGTCATTGAACTACAAACTTTTAATATATACCTATATATAAAAAAAAGAAAAAGTTTGTTTGACAATTTATTAAATATATAAACATGTAATACACTGTCTGTTTTGTCACATACACGTTTGTATGGAGAGGGTATAATGCATATACTCGTACAGGGATAGACTTAAGGTAGCGTTGTTTAAGTAAATACATTAATCACACGTAGGTACAAGGTTTCACAAACATTTTTCATTATATTTTACATATAATAAAAAAATTACCTACTAGCTTATTTTTGTATACATCTTTTATTAATGTAAATAAACTATTATGTATTACTAAGATATGCTAATATTTTTTTATACATATAGCGTTTTGTTTCCCAATTATTTTAATTACACTTATTATTTAAACGTGTATATGAATATAAACAAGCTTTGGCAACATTTAGTCACAAGTAAAATAGCTATATGTTAACAAAATACACTACTCTCTCCTTATTTCGCATTATTTATTTGTTTAGTAAATGGGTAAATGTGGTTTCTTTTTATGAAATTGCATGATTTTTTTATATATAAATGTCTACAATGTGGAAGCTTATCAGAGGTATTTAGTAGTTAGTAAATAATGTATTTATATGTCATTACGTAATAAATTGCATTATAAGTATAAATTATATTATATAAATTTCCAATAAAAACATGTAATCGTTTGACAGCGGCCAACTATTTACAATAGAAATTTATGATTTCTTTGTTTTTCATTACTTTTAGAACATTTTTTTAAGAAAATATATCATAGTATAAAGCATTTATTTTAGATATTATCTTAAGACATTTAAGTGTATCTAATATTTACAATAAAATTTGAATATGAGAAAACATGAATGAACAATTACATAGCTTTCGAATATGCGTACTTACATCATCAAAGGTTAAATGGAAATATAATTACTACATATAATCAGTATATAATATACATATATAAATATACATAAATATGTATAACTTATTATTACTTATAATTTATACAAGTTATATTCTTTTTATAATAAAAAAATTGCCGTTGTTTTACAACGCTAAAATTTGGATAAGCATTTTCTAATGAAACTTCGGTTTCGTTTTTAAATTTTATCCGACGTTCCGTTTATAGTTTCTTTCAAACGTCATTGAAATCTTAAATATCATTGTAAAGCCATTTCCAATTCAAAATTGTGATAAATTAAAAACAATACTTATGCTAACAACAGCTTTTTAAAGGAATTAACATGTTTTACACTTAGTTTTACTTTATACTTTACATTAAGCGAAGCCTAAATTCTTAAATTTATAGTCTTACAAAAAGATAAATTTTCTACTTTTCTTTTAAAGTTTAGTTGCCTTATAAATACCACAGAACGAATCAATATGCAATTCATATAACATATACTATCCAGCAGCTTATTTATAAAGTCTAAACGCAGTTCATATAAAGCGATATTAATTATAACAATAGTATAGTCTATTGCACTGTTTTTAATAACACGTTCAGTTAGAGATCAATTCAGGTTGAGGTAGTCGGAGTTAGTATTGAGAAAAGTTTGTGATGTGTCTGTATTGCACGTATTTGAATGTGGAAGAGGGCTTCGCGGTCGTGGAAAGGAGACAGGTTTTACAGGTGTTGCAGGCGATGCAGGAGATGCAGGTGATGCAGGTGAGGCGGGGGAGGCGGGCAGTAAGTCCTCCTCGGGCAGAGTGTTCAGGCGTGATAAACACCTCCCCCGCCCCGCACCTCACACTGGCGACTGCTCCCCGCTTGCGCTGCCGCTTGTGATGTAATCCTGAGATTCACGAAGAATTTTATCTTTTAGAAGGAGTCGTAGATAAATCATCAGCATTTTAAGGTGTTATGATCTAAGGTTTTGGCGTATACGCATTTTAAATGAGGTTTTACAGTCAGTTTGCTTAATGTCAGATAGTTTCATTTGCCGACACTTGGAATAAAATTAAAAATAAAATAATAAAATTAAAAATAAAATAGGAAAACATAGTTTCATATCGAGATGATGATTTTTGTTTGTGTGACAGAAATCCAGCTATTTCTTTAATTTCCAACGTAACGGTTTTTTTTGAAGTGCTATAATCCTCATACATATGTACATATATGTAAATAAATTATTAATGAACTTCTTGCAATCATAATTCCTACATAGATGGAACAACTCTATCATATCAATTGACATATGTATGTAATATATTTTTTGCCTTTAATAAATCATCTCAACGACTAATGATTTAATTATTATGCTTACAGCGTGTAGGTGTCTTCCATCGTGGTGTGGAGCAAGGGACATTCGAGGAACCAAAAGTGTTGTAGTCGTGGTTTCTGACGCTGCTGATTCTCTTTTCGACGGGTGGCTGTACAACCTAATTGTTACATGATAAAAATTTTAAATCTATTATGTTAAAGTTTATTATCAATGCTCAAAAGTAAATAAGTAATTACGTTGATTTATATTACAAAAGAAAATAGCAAAAATGATAACCATTAAGCTCGAAGAAATAAACTTGGCATGCTTACCTAATATCTGGCATTAGATATTGGTGGCAAAATAAGGAGAAGCAATAAACAAACAAAATATTACGATAAGCTGATTACGCAACGGTTTATTGTGGTGCAAAATGTAACAAAGTATTTTTTTATGTGTACTCCAAATCCACATTATGTCCATGCTAAAATTGTTTTCTTCGTGCAAATGTAAAAAGCCCGTTTTCTTAAGCACCAAGGTTTATATCCGGTACTCCATATATTCTTCAGACCGTCAGCCTAATGGGGGAAAATGGTAAATAAAATATGGATTTGGAAGTGGATTTAAATAAACTTTGCCAAATTTTGTTTTAAATTTATATCAGAAATAGACATTACATTCATAAAGAATTGATTAGCTGAAAGCATGCAGCATTTGAAAAGAATAAAACGAGCAAAGCAAATATAAATTATTTGAATTAAATTTGTTTTTCATTAAGACACTATGTAAAACGTTTTATACACTAAATTTAAAAGTTTAATTTGCGACATGCAATAAATTATCATTATTATTTTTACCGGATACTTTCAGTCCTGGATCTCGGAGACCAGTCTTTAGAATAAGAAGCTCCTCTTCGTCTTCCACCTCCAATATTCCGGCCATTCTTCCACCTCTCAACATGGTATCTTATTGCGTGTCGTACTTCTGTGTTCATAAAGCAGTAGAATAATGCTACTGTGAATCCCTGGAATATAATAGAAGTGGAATTAAAAAATATTTATTTTAAAGTATGTACCAACTCTAATAGTTTAACAAAATTAGAAATTATATTAGAAAAAAGTTGTCTTAACTCATTAAATTCTTAAAAACAAATTTGGTTAGGGTGGAGACTTTTATAGTTGTTTTAAGTAGTCAAAAAAAAGAACGACTTTCAAAGTTCTTGCCAAGTAAATTTATGTCCGACAGATTTCTTCGCTATTACAAGACCTAAAGTTATAATGTTGAATATTTCAGAAATAAAGCATATTAACATTATAACAAGAATATTAAATAATGGAAATAATTAGTAAGCTTCATCCAGTTTAAACTAAATATTATTTTGAAGTCATTTTAGTGTTCTTGTTGGTTGATTATGAAAATATTTTTTTTATGATATCCCTTTTCAAAACCATAAAGATATGAATGTTTTTATTTCTTTCATTAATTCTATACAAACCTGTGTTGATAGCATTACGGCTCGAGTATAGTCAAAAGTGTAAGCGAACCAAGAATCGTCACTGGGTCCGCAGAGCACTAGAAGGTTTGTGATGCCCAATAGTGGTATCAAAACTAACAAAGCCTTTGTCGCTTTCCTGTATTGCTCCGTTTCTAACGTATTAGCCGACCGCAGCTTTGTTATTAGTACCTTCAATCAAACTCATGATTAGTATCGCATTATGTTCTGTGTTTCTTGGGATAAAACTTTTTTGTTTTACATTCTACGTCATATTGTTGGAAAAACTTTGCATCTTTTTTAAAGATGATTGACATGATTCAAGAATTCGAAATATGGTTTGATGTTTAACCATAAGTATATCTTCATGGTAGGTGAGGTTATTTAATTACACATAAGAAACAAAAAGGTCTTTTGATGTAGTTTTTGTTATACATACCCACATGATCCTAATAAGGAAGAAAAGGTTGAGGGCAAGTCCAGCAAGGGCTGGTGCTTTATGGATCCAATCCACTTGGTGCTCATGAATCCATTGACACATTTTGGTTTCTCCAGTGATGGTTAACTAATAAAAAAGCATTTTGAAATTATTATTATTATTTATTTGAAACTAATATTTTTCGGATTTACTACGCTGTTTATTTTTAAAAAGTATATCCGCAAAATATTAGTTTCATTTAAATGAATAAAACTCGCGAAAGTCTTACATCTAAGCATTATTATTACATACTATGAAATTTGTGATGAACAAACATTCTTTATTTTAGTAATTTAGATAGGTACGTCAATTAAAACAAACACTTATATAATTTTAATAGATCCTTTGAACATGTCAAAAAGTATGTCTAATGTAATATTTATTATAAGTAATAAGAAATTCTATGGGGTATTAGTGTCATAACAACTTAGAAAAGGAAGATTCATTCCATACGGAATTATAAAGAAGGACAGCTGTGGTTTATATCAGTTTTTCTTTGAGCGTATCAAGATTAAGTTGACACTGACATACATGATAAATAGGTATACATTTGCATCCTCATGAAGAGTGAGACCAAATGAGGAAAAGAGGAAATGTGCTTCAATTATCAGAGTAGGATAATCGTTCCTTAGAAGTATATTGCAATATAATATAATAAAGGTATATTTCTGTAACATAGTAACTATCTTAAAAATTTATCATAAAAATGCTTTTAAATTAGATTTGTTTTTTTTTTCGTTTAATCATAAGTGCTTTGTTTGCTAAATCTGAATATTTTTTTTATACAATTATGAATGAATTATAACTAGGGCAAATGTTATCCTTTAGACTTCTTAATGTAAAATAAAACGTTTTATTAAAATATGTATATAAAAACTTTAGAAAGTAAAATTTAGGTTTACCTAAAAGTTTCTTTTACATTAAAAGGAAAAAGTTATAAATTTGAAATGAATTTAAATTAGAGCAATTGTTGCGGGTAAAGAAACGATCATATTTTTATATTATTGCACGGCTATTTAACAATATTGCAAGTTACATAAGTATATACAGAATAAATGACTAAAATAAAACATCACAGCAAAAAATTAAACCACATTCCTCCACAGGAATATCGATATATCGGAAATTATTATATACCATATACTAAGTAACATTTTAAATCCTTATTTTTGTTTAAACGCATTCTTTTAGAGCACTTTTTACATAATCGTACAAAAATTCCATTCGAGTATTATCCGGCGGCCTCGTTCACCAATTATTTTGTCATTTATTCTTATCAAGATTTTACGCTATATATTTTATTTTATTTTAGAACGTTGATACTATGATTTTGTTTTTTTTCTTTTTAAATATCTCCTACATTTTTATTTAGTTTATACTATTTTATAATGAAAATGAAATGATTTTTTTATATTTAAATATCACTTACCCCGTCTGGTCCTGTAGACGGCACCACAGAGACGAAACAACGAGCTATAACCCATATCGTGATGAATATAGCTGGAGCTCCTAAAATATAAATAAATAGAACATTTAGAGCAGATATTGAATTTGATGAATTCTAAGAAAATAAAATGGTATAATGATTTCGGAGAATCTTATGAATACGTTTTGGAATTAGTTGATTTGTTTTGACAAGAATATCTCGAACAAATTTTGTTTGAGATGTTACAGGTGTAGCCATAGGCTCATAGGTTTATATACATTAATCATAATCTCAATATAAGTCTGAAAATATTAAAGTACATAAAGTTTCTGATAAATATTTCTTATACTGAATATATAATGTTATTTAAAATATATATTTTTTTATGGATACGTTTTTGTATGAATCCCTATAAAAAGCTTCTTGTTTTTCGGATTCGTTACTTTTGTAAAAACAACATCCTATCTCATTTGACTCGTAACATTCATTATTTCTTAATACGCTTATACACTTTTATTTATACCGCAAAACTTTCAGAGTAAACATTCGCTTTGTTGCTTTAATAAGAACATGATTTATATAACAAAAAAATCTTACTTAGTGAAGTTATTCTCGGTTCCCTAATAATAAAACCACAAGAACATTCTTTTTTATCGTTGGAAATATTAACATTTTCCTTCGGGAAAATGAGATGAGACTTACTTGTTAAAAAATACATCCTCCATCTATAAGTAATTTTTATTTATAAAGTAATTTAATGAAATTGAGAAATTTGAACAGTTTATCATTTAGTTTTCTCTTAGCAGTATGATTTTTATATTATAATTTTTTTGAAAGGAAAATATTGTATATTCCATATTTGGATGAAAATATAAGGATACTTTGATATTTCAGTTTATTTGGAAAGTTGATAATAATAACAAATGATTTAAAAGAAAAGTCAAATTTTTTAAAGGTACAGTTGCAATTTTCTTAATTTTGCTTTGGAGTAAATTTAAAATTAGGCGTTTTTGTTAAATCGTTGCTAAGAGACATAGATTATTAATTAACTTACTGTATAAAGGCGTGATGATTTAAAGTAAACAAAAGGCCATCTCTCACTTTTATTATTTGAAAAATATAATATGATTATTGGAAATCAAGCATATTATCAGCTGAATAATTTATATAAGATGAAAGTAAAATAATATGAAAATAGATACAAATGTTCAAAACATAAACTAACTATTGTTATAACACTGTTGGATTTATAGTTATTTTATTTGAAAACGGATTTGAAAAGCAAATAAATATAACAAAACTTACCCCATCCTATGGTGGTATAAACTTTTAATTTAATATTTTCCGCAGTAAAAGTTTCCACAACTAGCATGTATAGGTACAGACCTGAAATACATATAACATATAAAGATTATTATTATTAACAAGAAAAACACTTTATATTCATAAATGAATATAAAGTGTTATATAATTTGGCGCATAAAAAAACCTTTTTAATGTATTATTGTGTTTTATAGTAGTTAGTGTTATGTTGTTATTTATAGTGGCATTCTACAGTAATCTTAGATGATTTAGATATCAGTCGTATTTATATAAAACTATGGTTTTAGGATTCACTACGCTATTTGTTACATAGCATTTTTTAAGACCATATAGCAACAGTGATCACAGGCACACAAGATGAATGTACGACGATTAAAATGTATTTAATAAATCAAATACATAGCCCATGTAAAAACCATAGTTTTATTTTAATGTGTATTTTCGTCAAACTCTTAGATATCTGTATTATATAGGTTTGTTTTTTTTTTAAAGTTTTTATGTATACTAGATTATTTCATAAAAATCAAATATATTCCCATTTATTTTGAAGACAAAAATATCGTTGTCTATTGAACTAGCATCTATTTTCTTTGATTTAAGGTTAACATCGTCTTTGTAATAACCTTTAGCAGAGTTGGGAATCATTATTATTGTAAATCGAATTAGAATTTTGATAGAAATTACGTATTATTTATATCTTTTCAGTGAAATAGTTTATTAAAGAAGATGACAGTTGGATAAGCGACCACAGATTACGTGTGACAGTTTGGTTAGTACTGTGACGAAAGTATACAACGAAAAGGAGAATAAGTTGTATGATTTATAGTTATATGACAATTTTTTGTGTTACGTCAAATAAACAGAAAAATATATGACATTACATATATGTATAAGCAGTGCGAAATATGTAAATCCCGGCCATATTATGTACAAATACTGTCCTAAGTATATTTATTATATACGGCATCAAAATTATTAAGCTATTAGGATCTAATTTAACCCCAAGGCTCTGTTTGTTGGTTTAATAACCGTTAAACCAACGAATAGGGTTATCCGTCTGTTGGCATCAAGTTTGTGGCGTGGTTCACCACAAGTTAGGGCGGGGTTGTTCACGTTATTACAGGGATTTTGAATTAATAAATCAACTTTTAAATCTAACAGAGGAAATTTATTATATTTAAAATGTGTCAGATATGTTAAAATATGTTTTAAAGGGTTTGGCGTGTCTGTTTACAATTTATAGTATAAGTTCTAGTTTTATACCTATATTTAAATGTAGATTTCTATGAGTTGGTCTTAATTTTAAACTTTATTTACGTGAAAATTGCAATATATATAATATAACTGTTGTTTTATAGTGATGGTAAGCATATTATATTTCTAATATTTAAAAATGAGAACAAACATAGTAAGAGAGAATTTTATGGACCATATTATCAAACTTTTATTCAGGGAAAGTGTATTAGAAAATCACTTATATTTAGTGACCTTCAAGTTCTTTCGACGTAATAACTGTCGGATATGTCGGATAGGAATAAATTGTTCAACTCACCTTCCACTAACATCCAAAAGAAATTCGTCAAATAGAAATAATGCATGCATATAACAAGGATCATACAAGACGTCTGTTCTTGCTGAGCTTCATCTGACCAGTTCTGAAACATAAACATAAATATGGCTTAGAGAATATCCTCAATGTAGGAGGCCCACTATGGTAATATTCATTATTCAAAACTACTCACCTGTAAAGCTAAATTCAACATCCAACTACATGCTGATAATATATAAGTGGACATAAGATTAGTGTGTATAGTATTACGTAGACATCGCAAGTCTCTGGAAAATACATTCATAATTTAAGCATTTCAAAATTACTAAAAATTTTAGTGGTCTCGTTCAACTATTAAAAGACATTTTACGTATAGTATATCATCAAAATTTACGAGTTTTTTGTCTTGATTTTGTCCTCACTTATTTAATTTCAATACAAAGTTTCGTCTTTTCAAAATGGCTGACTAGATTTGATAAAAGAGAACTTAAAAAACTTATTTATTTTACTTAAAAATCTTGTTCCTTGGAAGATTGAATTTCCTTTTTTATAAAATTGTTCAGTATTACTGCAGTCGTGTTGATAATTAAAAAAAATACGGTTTTTATAACTGGTAATTATAAAAACCGCAACGGTATAACGGTTGTGTCTAAATTTAATGCATAGAACTTTATTTCATACTCTTAAGAGCTATATATATATGTATATATAAACATTGAATAGCGATGATTGAACTTACTTGAAGTATAGGAAAACGAAGACAGCTAAGGAAAGAACGGCTAAGCTGAGCGTATAGCCGGCTAAGTATATTAGGCTGGTGACATCTGTAGGAGAGACATTTGCTATCCGTTCGGTACAGTTTGCGTAGTTTGTGTAATTGTGCCATTCACCCTCCAGACAGAGACGGGAAGCGTTTTCTAAAATATACAATATTAAAAATGTTACCATTTTATAACGCAAATTAATTTTAACTGACTTCAAAAAATGAAGGTAGTTTCTACATGTCACCGTATTTATTTACAATATAAATATAGTGCATTTATGAACTGATTTCGATTCGTTGCATTTAAGATGGCACAAGAATAGTCTAAAAATCGAGGGAAACTTACGAAATTAGTAGCTAGTTGGGATAAATTTCCAAGGTCCTACTCATTTATTGATAAAAAAATATATATCACTGCTTAGGTTTCCAGCTACCTACATAAGTTATTTATTTCAAATAGAATAAGTTTTTTGTTTTTTCCGTCTTTAATAGACATAGCAAATATAAGAGTATTTATTTTTTCCCAATATTCGCATTTTAATAAATATCAAAGGTAATCATTTGTTGTCATTCATTTATTTAACCTTTTCAAAAACATTCCAAATGTAAAACAAAAGCATTTTCACCGTGTCGATGTTTAAAATATAAAACATTGAAACTCAAACAAATGTTTTGTTCTGAATTCGCAATGTTATGAATGATTACAGTAATTTTACCCTTTTATCTGCTTTCATAGCATATATGAAATTGTTATTATTATTTTTTAAGGGAAATGTTGGTATTAAAATACAAAAATATTAAACCTTTTACTTATAGAACTCTTAATTATTTCGTTTAATAAGTTTTACTAGCAAGGATTTAAAGAAAACCATCAAATATTTTCGACGAACATTGATTGATAGACAATCTGACGCGGAACGGCTGGTCTTTATTATTCTCAAAGAATTGAATTCAAAATGAAATCCCTAATCAATACATTTATAATAAGTAAAAGGCCGTAAGCTCTCAAGTCATATATACAAAGTGAACTTTTTCGTTGTCGTATTAATTATACAATATTTTATTTAAATTATTGATTACTTATGATATCTCTACTATATATCACTCTCGCATAGTTTAAAATGTTGTTGTTGGTACGGTTAAGTAATTTCTCCGTAAATGCTTTGCTTGAAAACTGTTTGAAAGTAAAACTTGTTCTGTTTAAACGTTTTACAAATCTATTTGGCTTAGGATCTTGATAAGGTTTTGGATATACATATTATGTATATCAAAAGAATACTTCTGGTACGCTAAAACAAGTCACTTAAGGCTTGAAATTAAAAATACATAGGTATAAAGCCTTACTTGAATTTTACTACTTGTTACTGAATTAATGTTTATCTTATGACAAATAAGACGTTGAAAGATAGTATTTTACTGCAGTATTTAATAAAATCTGGCAAAAACATCTCTAAAAATTATTGTTAAAGCCAGGCCTGTTAAAATACTTTATAATACCACGGTATAAAAAATATGTTCAATTTCTTTGTTTTAAGTATTGCAAACTGTTTAAGTTCAAAATACTGAAAATAATCAAATAGGTTTGTAAATAATTTACACCTACGAAGATTCTTAATTTATCGGCTTTAATCATAAGACGTCACTGACGTCATAGTAAATTTAAGTGATATCAAAAATAAACAAATGTTTAACCCGTATCGACCTGACTAGAAAGTTATTATGTACAATAAAATTCGTTTTGTGTATTTTTGACATTATTCGAGGTCACTATCATTTGGAATGTACGTTTAAAAAAATGTATTGATTAATTTATTTTCATACATCACGGAATTATTTATAATTGAGATCGCGTTATCCACAAACAAGTTGGTTGTTTTATATTTTTACAAAATAACGTTTTGATAATATTTTAATATACCTATATGTACAGAAGACTACTAAGTAAATAAAAAGTATTTTCTAATATTAAGGGTTATAAAAACTGATAAAGTTTTTTATGCGTAAAAAGACAATAACAATTTTATTAAAACGCTAATATTTAACTTTTTTATATAATAACGAAAATACGTTTTCATAAATTAATATAGCAGTGGTCTGAAAATTTATAACATTATTTTCAAGATGGTAAAATTTAGGAGCGTCAAAGTGATTAAAAGACTTCTCAGAATCAAGTTAAATTAATTTTGATGTGACTCAATTAACACCATGTAAATTAATTCACATCACTCTCTTTCTAAATCTGCGTCAATTTTGTTATCTCAGATAAATATAGTAAATATACCGTAAATTAAATACGTACATTTATATTGTACTTACGCGTATCATCGTACTGTACTCCATGGAATTCACTAAAACACTTTTGCACAGCTAAAGTATTCCAAGGGGTGGCATCCCAGCACAAAAGGCCATCGAAGTAGGGCTGGCAGTAGTTTTCAGAGTAATTGGAGTTCCTAGCAAGGCATTCCTCGCTGGCATTCTCAGCTACTGCCTCAGGGCCCGGCAAAGTGTGTAACTCCTCCAGTTTGACGTTTATATGTTAATATGGACTAGAGAATTATAAATTTCATATGTTCCTTTAACTCGGCACAAATTTCTCACACTTATCTATTCCTGGAGGTAAGCAGTTCCATCTCGGGATAGGTAGCTCAAGTGTTTCGCACTCCACGCCCGAATGCACTGGATTCTGCGATGAACTTGAGCGTCTCCAGTAAGAATGTTACCATGATAAGGTTGTTTGCATGCGGCTTGTGTTCCAACTTATCAAATGATAAGACTTCAACGGCAAACATCGGCAGTCTATTAAGAGTATTTATGGATCGAGCAAGGAACTCTAGTTTTTCTTGAATTGTCTTTTATCTCGTTTAACCTGCAAAGAAATATCATTGTTAATGTTTGTTTTATGATAACTTGGGTAAATTGGATACGTGTATTTTTGTTATGCACTTTAAATATTAGTACATTTTTGAAGGTCGGTAAACGATAATTTTTTTAAATATTTTTAAAAAGTAGAAGATTTTTTACTTTTTTAATTTTGGCTTTAGTAAATGTAAATCAAAAACTATTGTTTTTAATTGTTTCAATAGTTGATATTAAAAAAATATAAAGAAAATAGTAAAAAATAAATAAATTATCAATTGATCAATCCAACAATTTTTTAATGTTGTAAACTAGCATTTGCACATAACAACATAAGTAAATATAAAAACTATTTGGTTCAAAAGAATAGTTAACAATTAAAAGTAACAGAATTTTAAAAAAACAATTTTACTTTGTGTTATTATGTCAATTATTACAAAGATAGCTGACTTTTTAGAAGTGCAATAAATTTCGATTATAGTCAATAAAATAAATTTATCTCTAGAAGAGAATTTTAAAAATCTAGAACAGTTTTATGTCGTAGTTGATACGTTATATTCGAGCGTTCTATATGACTGGTCTTTGAACACTAAGAAGGTTATACGTGTCAACGAAATTTGTAGGCCTCTTAATTCTATTGACTTTCCTTAACCTATAAAACGGTTTGATAGTGTTACTCGACATACATTTAAGTTCGTATAATTTATTGTATCTTGGATTTAGATTAAAATATAGTACTTTTATATAACCTGAAGAATAAGAAGGTATATTGTATGTAACTAACTATAATACTAGGCAAGAAAATGTAACAAATAGACAGCTTAAATAAAGTTTTATTACATAAATATGTTAATGAAAATTTTATGAAAAAAATAGGTCTATTTTCAAAGGTGTAAGATAATAAACAAAGATCATTTAATTACATTCTCAGTAGACAATATGTTTTTAGAAAATTGTTAATAATTGTTTAAAAGCAAAAAAAGAAAACTTGACAATGTACTTTCACTTTTTTGTCAAAATGTACGTATGAATTGCTTGTAATTCATTCCAAGTATTCCTGTAAGACAGAATTACATATGGAACCATCTCTTAATTTGGTACATTTAACCCAACCTCGGCAACTTAGCCATTTTAATCGCAGTTAATTCAGTACGGCACTTAGTTTATGTTACACTTCAGTATTGTGTTCAACGTAATCTAACTTAATATTATACAATTAGACTCTTTAAATTCTACCGACTAGCTTTTTATTTGACAAGTGTCGAATAAAAAGCGTTAATTGCTTTTAAAATAGTAAGTTTTTCCATTTTGTTTTGACTTTATATGCCTAAGCACTTACAAATCCTTTTGCAAATTTTGTATTATATAATTACTTCGATGGCATTTTTTTAATTTTGTTATCAACTTCTTGAATTTAATCATTAAATTATTAAAATATTTACCACTGAAGTTTTAATTTATCATTAACGTTTTTTTATTTAAAATTATTGTAGGTATTTGTCATGACTTTAAAAAACAATATCTTGTATGCATTAAAATATTTTGCCAACATCACTGTTTTTAACGCCGTTTTAATGTTTTATACTTTGTATCATGCCTGCAGTTTTTGTTAGTGAATAATATATGTATAATATATTCTTCACAAAAGCTTTGGAATTGTAATAAAGTCACACATACATTTATAAATTTATTGATAGCTCCACAGGAATATTCTAAAGTAAATTTTACTAACCTGAGTTAGTTCATATCCGACCTCCAGTTAATTGGACACAGCTTAGCTCTATCTCTTCATTACTATTTTATTTTACATTTTACATAGCAGTGACGTGATATTTGAATTGAATTTTAATGTTCTTTACACTGACTCATTTACTGTACATACTTTACGCCTTGACGGTACGTTGGAAAAAAATGTTGCAATATCTTTTCTATCGTACATTATAATAATAATCTAGTTAAATACAAGACTGTTTTTAAAAATATCATTTATTTGTCTATTATATTACATTAAAATAATGATGGAATAAAGATCTCCATAAATTTGATTTACCTTCAGATTTGAAGCACTTAATGACATTTCCAAGATTAACATTATCAATTTCCCGATATCTCTCCATAAATCATCCAGAGATATTTTCATCTCGTTTCTCACCCTTAACATTAGGTGTAGGGTGAATAAATATCTATATACAAGACTTTCAGCTCCAAAGAAGGCACTTTAATAATACAAATTCACACCACAATTGCAACATAAAAAAATATTGAACTTATAACACATCGAAACAGTATTTACCACTTATCGAATAAGAGAAAACTGCTTTCCTATAAATCGTTTAAAACCACTGTCCTTTCTTATCGAAACATAAAGGTTAAGTCCATTCAAAGATATAGACTTTTTTCATCATTAATGACCCCTCTTTTCCCACCTAGTCTCAAACTCTTAATGAGTAAAAACCAACCGTACCTTCTCCTGATCCAAGTCAGGCCGCTGTTTATTAATGTGCTTGCAACGGCTTGACATCGGCTCTAGGACCCCATAAAGATCCATACTTAAGGGTCTATGTGATATGAGATTATAGTTTTTATGAAAACAATATACCTTAGAAATATCATATCACATTCAGATTATGCTTTTAATATTAAGTACTGTAAGTCTTTACGAACAGAATGTAGTTATTAATTTGAAGTCAGTTATTATTGTATTAATTATAACTTTCACAAAACGAAGTCTAATTGCTTTGAGAGTGGTGAGGTAGAATTTTTCCCTATATTTAAAAGGGCATTAACCCACACTACTCCGTACAATTAATTAGAACTTTTTACTCATAAGCCTTAGCTGTATTAGCACTCACAACATGTTACGGCTTAAGCATGGAGTTGGGTGCGAAAATACAAATAAATCCTCTTAAACAAAATTACTTTCTGAATAACCATATATGTACTACTTAAGTGACTTAGTTTTATCCTTAGTGGAAAAAAATGAATGGCTATAATACTTTTTTCATCAGTGGTCATTTTTAATATTGGCATACAAATATGTAATTGCCTCCGCTAATTAATTTAATGTAGCTTTGTTTGATATTATTATGACTGCTATCGCCATACATAGTTCTGTATGAGAATTAACGATATTCGATACTAAAGATGTAAAGATGTACTTGTATGTACATACTTAAATTATTATTATTGTTGAAGCTCTCTATTAATGTACAAGGCATGTTGTTATAAGTTCTTAGAATGTTTTTTGACACTTGTCTATATTGTAAAAATAAAAATGTAAAGAACATTACATAACGTTGAGATAAATATTTTTGTAAAACAAATGCGCAAATAATATATATAAATCTATCTATACACTAAACCATTAGTGGGATTAAAATCTCAAATAATGGCAAATTACTATTTACTTAATAAAAGAACCTCCCAAATTTTCAACTATCCAGTTACAAAATATATAAATTACAAGGAACATTTTATAATAAACATAGAACTTTCGTGAATTATATTTCAATTTAACTAGCTATACTAAATCAAAGCAATAAGAGGAAAATTTAATTAATCTTTAAGCTCCGGATATTAATTATTCTAGATATAGATCAATACATATTAATTTTGGGTGTAGTGTGTAATTTGCTTCAGTGTTTATTAAAATATAATAAAAATTAAAGAACAATCATACGTCGTGAAGTAAATATCAATCGTTTTCATTAGTTTCTACAAACTTGACTTGCATGTCGCCAACGCATCACCTTGACGTGTCCCCAGTGAGGAAGCCTCGTGGGGAACCGGCGTCCGGGTAACATAGGCTAAGGGTAAGAGCGGCGTGTTTGGCGTTCGCCACCGTTTGGAGCCACCGATACCCCTGCCGAAGGCGGAGTCCCCTTTCGGGACTCGTGCGTAGTGAGCGGAAGTATGGCTTGCCGTTCCCGCTCACTAGTCTACGCACAGCGCAGAGAACGCCGAGGAGTTTAGTGGGTGGAAATCCCACACGCCCCTGTTGCGTTTCCCCCGCGGCAGGAAGTCTTTAAAAGATTCTCCTCGTTAAAAAAAAAACGTACACCTTGACGTGTACGTTACCAACATCAGAGATCTGCTATCGAATCTTTTGCCAATGTATCATCGTTTCGAAACTAATAACTCGCAATAACTAATTAACTTAGTTAAAACAGTTAACCTTTTGGTCCTGGAGACTTTCTAGTCCTATTTCCTTTCCCATGTTATACTTTAGTTTTGACTTAACTTTGTATCAGACCCTAGAGTAAATGTATTTTTCAAAATGGTATCTACAATCAACGTGACAGATATGGATAACCCGCCAGTCAAGTGCTTAGACCTTTCGCTGACAACGGATCCAAACCTCTGACCACGATGCCGACTAGTTTGTAGTAATTTTGACTAGTTTGTTTTGGTAGTTTATATACATATGTCCTTAGCTTGATCACAAAGATGTAGGTGATTTTGGTGATATCTTATCCTTATCGAGGGTTTCCTTTCTATTAGAGATACACGAATACAGACTTTTTCATTTCCGACCTAAAATGGTCGAAACAAGCATCTCTCTGCCCTGAATCCTCCTATGACCAACCTAGATTGGATTTTATTCCACACGGCGTTCTGTTACGTGAAAGTTCATGGTCGACATTGAAACTAGCATTACTTAATTGTTTCTACTTAAGACAGCAAAAAAACGAATTTTACTAGTGGATTTCTTTTCTTCGGATAAGAAACCATTTATTAGGATTTTAGATGTTAAATTTAATATATGTGATCTCTATTTTATCGTCTCAATTTTCTTTTAAAAGTTAAAAAAACTTATAGTTTGTTATAGAAGTAACAAATATTATGTATATACTCGTAGTTACATATTTATGAACCATGACTGGCGGTTATATCAATTATTTTATGTAATTTTAACAGAACCGACTCACCACAA